TCTTCCGCACGAGTTGCTTGCTCTTCAAGCAAAACATTCATCTCTGAGACGATGCCTTCGAGTTGTCGGTCAAATTCAGAGCATAGTGCAATAGTCGCCGCGTCGTAGCCTCTTGTCTTCATTAACAAATTCCTTACTTTGAGATCATCACTTAAGGCAACCTCCAAGCTGCACGGCAAGTCACTTACACTTTCAGACCAAATATCCCAAGAGTTCACACTAACATCTGGCAATGCATGTTCTATTGCATCGAATGTTGTTTGCATAGCTTTCTCCCAGCTGTCGTGGATAATATCATGGATGCGTTGGTTAATAAGTGGTATGTAATTTATTTCGAAAAAATCCAGGGAATGTGAGAGTTGTAGTTTTTTTACTAGTTGATCGAAGTTTAAATGTTTTCTGTATGCATTGGCTTCTGTTTTTAGTTCTTTGATGGTGCTCATTGTTGATACGAAATCAAAAAGTTGCTTAAGTTGAGTGCCAGCAATTTGGCGGGTATCTGAAAGCCATTGCTCAAGTGTGGAACGGACCTGTATTTCGTCTAGAGATTGTGTTCCGATTTTTGGGCGAAAATTTGAAATGATTTCCGGTAATAAATACGAAAACTGTGCATCGGTACGATGCATTAAATTTAATGTGGGTGGTGCGTTAGCGTCGCTGAGTTCAGCCAGTTTTTGCAACAACAAACCGTCGTCTGAAAAACAATCCAGTTCATAAAATTTGTTATTGATATCAAAAGTGGCGGAACAAACCTATGAAGCATTTCCAGATAAGATCCACCGTGCCATTTAGTATCCGCAGGCTTGCTAAAATTCGGTCTTTTACACGCCTACGCTGTTCATTAGCACCAGGATTATCTTCGCTGAGGCAACTTACAAACGCGGTACAACGAAGACTTAGAAACGTTTTGAAAACACTGTTTAATGTATTCTTTTCTAGCGACAATAAGCTGAGTAAACAATCTACTGCCACATCGACGCTCAGATCTTCACGCTCTAATGCAGCCAAAGCATGTTGTTTAATGGTCACATTGAACGGTTTTAATATTTCCCATTGTTTTTTGGCCACAGGAAGATGTTGCATCAGTGCGTTATTTGCATCCAACTGCAGTCCTGTGCTTATATGCCTGCTAAATATGAACAATTCGCTAGCAGTATAGAACCGCTCTTCGTCAATGTTCGTCCAAATTAATTCCGGCAAAGCAGTCAGAAGCTTAATCTGCACCATTGTACTGAAGTAATGATTTAATTGTTTATTTGCATTTCGATTTCGTAGTAAATCTTCCGATTCGCTAGTTTTAAAACCCAACAACTGTTGTTCATTTAGCTTGCGGCAATTTTTCGTAATGGACTCAACCTGTTCGATGAGTTTCGCTGAGGAATCTTTCATAGCTACAATGGTATCCGCAGCCTGTAGCAAATCGCGGTAACGTTCACTGCCGGGAAAAATATATTAGAACAAAGTGTATAAATTAATAGCAAATCCGTCAAAGTCATACCCAACCATTAGGCGCAGCTCCTCACGTTTGTTTTCTACTACCGACTGGATTTTCTTGTGAACGATATCGATTTCCGGGACGCTGTGCTGTTCAAATAACGTGTCTACATCGAGATTAAGTAAGTTGGCGGCATCCATTTCGCCTTTATTCATGTATTTATCTCAATAATAATACTGAAATTATCAATTATCACCAAATGTTTGGTGAAAAGAAAACAATCTTTGACACGTCGTTCACAGCTGATTGCCCGCTGCGCTATCTAGCGGCGGTTAGGTACATTCTATTGGAGAGTAGTCCTAACAAGCAGTGGAATTTAAGTAATTTGTGCGAGCACAGTCGCCGCAATAAAAAAAGGACTATTTTGTGGATTTTGCAACTAGATTTAGCTCTTTATTTTTCTATCAACTCCGAAAATTAGACTTTAGCTCCTAGTCTTTTTAGCTCTTTTCAAAATTATCTAGCACTTTTTTAGCTCCAGAAAGTTTTAGTTGGTTTAGGAAATATATAGAAATTAAAAATCTGANTCTTTTCAAAATTATCTAGCACTTTTTTAGCTCCAGAAAGTTTTAGTTGTTTTAGGTAATATATAAAAATTAAAAATCTGTAATTTCATTCTACAAGTGTTGACTAAAATTTATTTCGATACCTTATTACTTTCGATACCTTCATGCTATTCTATTTCGATTAATACTTTGAAATCCCGTTCCTAATGCAAATGGCGCGCAAGCCAATAAGAAAATGGGCACGCACCTAGGTCCATTAGTTTCTACGACGTGCGCGGGCGCACACAAACAATACCGGGCAATAATTCGAGCTCCAATAAGTTCCGACGAAGATTACATCGAGCCTACGTCAACTTTTGCGAAGCTGATTGGAAAGGCTTGGCGTAGATTACTGGAAGTACCTTCTCAGTCCTTCTCACATCAACCGAAGTTCAAATAGGTGAGCGTACGTAACGCAGGGTTGTCAAATCCAAATTTTGAGTGAGATTCAGGTAGCCATCGGGGAGGCGAAACCCTCCAAAGCTACTGGACGTGACGGAATATGCATGCAGATGCTGAAAAAATTGGCGCTCCGGGAGCATAATATTTCACCAGGGTACTCCATCTTTCCATGGCCGCTCTCATCGTTCCAGATATTTGGAAAACGGGGAGAGTGGTCCCACTGCTTAAACCTGGGAAACCGGCAAACAAAGAAGAATCTTATCGCCCTATATCCCTCCTTTCGCGGTAGCGAAGATACATGCCGTCTTGCTACTCCTTCACTATTCGTACCACCTGACTCCAGCGAGGAATCAAAATGGTTTCCGTAAAGTGCACAGCACCACGCCATTCGACATCGTCAGGGGTGGTATCCTATCCCCTCTGTTGTTGAATTATTACAACTTAAAACTCCCTCAACCACCAAAGGGAGTCTCTGTGGTCTCTATGCTAACGACTGCTCGATAATAGCGTCCGGGAAGGGAATTGATGACTTGTGCTCGAAAGTTTCCTCTCCGATCTTTCTCGATTCTTCACTGCACCATTTTGACCACCTGGACGAAGGAGGGCAGACTACAGCTGGGAATTCACATCAATCGCGAACCAATTCCGATGCTGAATAACTCAAAAATTCTCGGAGTCACCATCGAAAGTCTGCTCGTCTTTTCGGTACAGAGCCGCAACAAAATTCTCAAGTCACCAGCTAGAAGAGCATGGGGCAAAGACAAAGAAGCGTGGTTGGTAACATTAACAGACAATTGGCCGGCCGTTTCTGAACTATGTACCGCCACTTGTGTCGCCGGGGACTAGCAGGACGCAGTGGACGAAGCTACAGACATGCCAGAACACGGCACTGCGGACCGCAACTGGTATCGCCACGGCACCACCTTCACGTCGAGGCTCAAATGCTCGTGGTGAAGGAACGCAACACGATGCTCTGTACGCAGTTCTTAGTAGGGTGTCACAGACGCGGGCACCCGAACAGACACCTACTTGCAGCAGGGCCCTCGCTTACGACTGACGGAGTTCAGAGTCCAGAGTTTCATAAAATATCGTCTGGACCCAACAGAATACCGGCAGACCATAAACGGCATTCACAGGGAGTTGGTCCCGACCTGTGAATGTCGTTTTGGGAACACAGCCACCTGACGTGGACGAGACAGAACTTCGTCTGCCTGGTGAGACTCCATGGAATAATCCAGTCGGAGTTGCACGCTTTCTGGGTCACCCGTTAGGTGAGTTCCGGAACAAACTGATCTAGGTAAAACTAAGTAACTGCCGTCCCTAAATTGGCGCGTCAGGCGCCAAACAACTGTTAAAAATCCCCATGCCCGTACAATTTGTATGGAGCATCCCACAATAACGCAGCGCTAGCTCCGAGCAAATGGAATTTTCTTTTTTTGACAGGGCGTTACGTATTGAAGTTGGATGCGAGAGACGGAAAGAAGGATAAGGTAGAAAAAAGTGAAAGAGGAAACGAGAATAATAACGAGAGGAAATGAGAAAACGTAAAAAATTACGCCGCGCTGATTTGGGGATAGCGCGCGCTGACGCTCGTTGGCAATGGAAAACGTTTAGCGCTCCAATTTACGGACGGCAGTAAGCCGCTACAACAACAACAAACTTCAATGTTTTTGCATTGCTCCCATGGAAGTTGAAGGCTCAGTTATGCATACTTGGCATTGCATGAGAGTTGACACATCAGGAATCTGTTAAATAAGCTTTGCGTGTAAGCGGTTACCCAGCATTACATATGTAAAAGTCTGTTGTTTTTTGATTTCTACGTAGAATGTCATGGCTATGCAGTGCAGTGCAAATTATGCATAACTTAACCTTGAGCCAAAATATATGTATCTACGAAACTCAAAAGAACTAAAGAATGGAGATCTCCCAAAATGAGGGATAAAAGTGTACTACCTTTAACATGATCTCGTAGCAATAACCGAGATTTGTAGGTTTTATACCCCAAGAGAACAATAAAGTTGTAATCCTTCAGATATGATTTTAGAGCAATACATTGTTGAGGGATTCACAACGGAGTCGTAAGTGTCGTATAGTTGTATGTCATAAACTTTCAAAGCTTAAATAAATGTTTAGAGAACTTAAATCCACAACCACACTGCGAAAATTCATAATATGACTTTGATGGTACTTTGCGAACCGTCTTAATATATTTTTAGGCATTTAAAGTTTACGACACACAAAAATACGATACTTACGACACCGTTGTAAATACCCCATATATTTTGCACTCCGTTGTTACTCGCTAGGTAGCAAAATAAGAGATCTTACAAAGGTTGCAATAAAAGACTGGACCTTTTGAACGTTCTCGACACAATTAGAGAGATATGTGTTTTCTTACTCATTAGTTTACTCAAAGTTTGAAGAAAAAAGGGCATTATGCACAAAAACTGAGCTTCAGGTAAAATAGAAAACCCTAACAAAAAATTAAATGAATAAAATAGTTTTGCTGTAGAGACTCAAAATATTTTGATTGAAAACGAAATTTCTTTCTCCCAAATACTACAATTTATTATTTTTTTTATAAAATTTGCAAAAGTTCAACCTCAAAGACCAAGGCACCATGAATTATCTCATACAGCGCGGAAAGGTTCGCAATCAGATGATCAATGTGCCGCAGGGATTGCCTGAACTCTTGTCGGACATCACACGAGAAGTTCTGCGCTGCCAGCCCACCACCGAATGCCTTTGCCAATTCATCATCGACTACCTTCATTCGGTGATCGTGACTCGAGAGAAAGCCAGAGGTAAAATATTAATTTTCTCCTTTCCCATATCAAATATATCTGGAATGCAGTGGCCAAAAGCATCATTGATCGCGCACTGGCGGTGGTGGACGAAATCATTGCGGACATGTGCGTATGCGATATCAGCAAGGACAAGGCGCAGCAGATGTCAATGCATATGGAGGAGTGCTTCCGACGTTTCCTCAGTCGAATGCGTTGCGAACAGCGAAAGGATATCGAAGTCGTGCGATTCGAGGAGCAGGACATGCTAAATGCGATGATCGAACGCTGCAAATTCACTGAGCAGGAATTGAGAATTTCCAAACCCATGATTGAGGCTGCCTATCGCCGTTTTATCGATGCCTATATGAAGGCTCATGAGGTATGTAGGCTCATGTTGTGGGGAAGTTGGAATCCGAATATGTTTCCATTTGTTTTGTCAATCTATTTACACTGCAAAGGACTTTGAAGGTACTGAAGAGCTATATCAGTACTTTAAGCAGCGTGAACTCAGCCGGCAGGAAGAGGAGAAGGAAAAATCGGCCGCCACTAAAATTCAGGTTTGGATATACAAATCGCGGATAGCTCAATGCGA